AAATCTTCTTATTTCATGTTTTGATTTTTGATTTTATTCATTTTATTCTAAATCATCACCAGATACATTTTATCCTATAAACTTTTGTAATTTCAAAAGAAATATCACATTTTATATCAACTTATACTTTCATATAGAAAATTTAATATTAGATATTAGAGAAAAAATGAATTATGCTGCTTGAATTAATTATTTTAATTTTGGATTTGGTTGTTTATTTATGGATTGATTTTTTTATAAAATAATATATCTATATCTATATATATATATATATTTGTGTGTGTGTGTGTATATGTACTTGAAATATACTATGTGTAATTTCTTTGATAAGAATTTTTTATTCCATATTTTTGTATAATGTTTTTATAATTTTTTTTTAAAAAAACTATACAATAAAATTATTAGAATAGAGTATTAAATAGCTAAATAAAATAAATCGCTAAAATTCATGATTATTATTATTTAGTACACAACAAAAAAAGGAAGAAAGAAAAAAATTATATGACAAAGTTACAAAATTATATTTTTTTAATTCAATTTATAACTATAATTATTAGTTTAAACATATTTTAATAATTCTATTTTTGGAAATTTCTATGATTCCTCACATGTGATAAGATTATATAAATTTATACTATAGTTTGTTAAGTTTAAATATTTTTGGAATTCAATCTTTTAGATTTGGTAATGTTAAGATTTAGTTAAAAATATTATTAGAAATGTATATATGATTGGGAAAAAAAATATAACATTCTAAATGGAATTTATAATAAATAAATTTGCTTTGTATTTCGAATATATCTTCAAAAAAAATATTGTGCAAGTAATAAGGTTAAATTTTTTAAAAAATCTCAAATGTTTTATTATAACCATGGTAACGAACAATTTATTTTTGACAAATTTTGGTATTCATATAGATTATACAAAATATAAGGATCTATTTATAATAGTTTTATTTATATTCCCATATGTATGCATACAAAATTGGAGTTTATAATTAAAAAATTTACATTTAAAAAAACATTATATGCGAAAAAAGACTTGTACTATTTTGTAAAATAATATTGTTATAATTCAGTGTACATACTTAGATGCTATGTCTATATATATATATATATATAGATAGATAGATAGATAGATATAAATATATTTAATAATTAATAAATAAATTTAATTTTACTTAATAATTTATTTTATTTTATTAACTGTAAAAGTATTTTATTTAATTTATGTATTTGAATGTTTGAATAAATTAAAACATATATATTTTTTTTTGGTATCTTAAGCCTTCTTTATTTTTCATGGATGTAAATCCCAAGATTAATTTTAACATGTGTTTGAAATTTTACAAATAACATCATCAAAAAAAAGTATTAAAATTAAAAAATAAATAATATAAAATTTGATATTATATTGTAATAATATCTTCATTTTTTGTAATTTTTATTTTAAATAAATATGATTATTCTTCAAAATGTGGGCCATTCTAAGATTTTTGCATTGAAGCTTGAAAAGAGATAGGCTAGTAGTATATAATTTTAGTCTTTGTATTATTATATTTAGTATCAAAGTAACATATGATTTATAAGTAGGAATACCTTTTGTTATGGTCTTTTGTGCTTTCTTAATGTTAAAAGAAATAGACAGTTAGAAAAAAATTGGAGTATTAACAATTGATACATCTCTATCATACAAATAAATTAATTTAACATAATGTCTTGTAACAACATATTTTTTACAGTAAAATTTTAGAAAAGTTGTACCAAATTCAAATCGACCATATTTTTTATTTTTTATTTTTAGCTTAAAAATAAGATAGCACTTTAGTACATTTTCCAAAAGCTATGGTAAGAATTTAATGCAGAAATATATTAATCTCATCCTTAATAATATGCAGAAAAAAATTACATAGACTATTATATATATATATATATATATATATATATATGTGTGTGTGTGTGTTTCTATTATTATACTAATTGCTATTTGAAAATATAATATATAGTAATGTGATCATATTATGAATGTTGGCACCCATCAGATTTAGTCATATGGGATAATTACATGATTTTTTTTTAATTACATGATTCTTAAAATTACATTAAAAAATTATCTAATTTTATTCCTTCAACATTATTCAAAAGAATGATATTAAAATTTATTTAAATAATAATAATAATAATAATTTTAAAAATTATTCGATTTTTTATTTTTTGAATAAATTAAAAAAAACATATATATATATATATATATATATTGTAAAGCCATAACAACCTTTAATCCACCACTTTCCACTTTTATTCAATGTCTTTTAAGCTAATCAAATTTTCTTACTTGAATGCTTTTCAAAATATTTAATTGAATATAATTTTTAATTCAAATAGAAAACTAAAGATTTTTTTTGAATGGGTGGAAAATTTGAGTAAAGTTAGCAAAATATTCTACATATATATAGTACAAAAAAAATATTATAAAGTACACTTGTTGTAATGCTTAAGCAAATACTATTTAATTTTTAAATAAAAAATAATTTAGGTTGTGTTTAATTAATGGAATTAAAATTTTATTGGCTTTAAAATTTTTTTTTTTATATACATAACTGGTATTAATTACATAAACCGTCTTAAAATTTGGCAATCCTTAAACATTATAGTTTGTTTAATTTATTTATTTTAACCTAAATAAAATATTATCTAGTATCACCAAAAACATACCAATTTTGCTATAACCTATTCATTCAACATGTAACTATTAATTTACAAACTAGAGAACTATGTTTTGTTATTTGAAAAATTTAACAATTCAATACCTATGTATAAATATTAAAATAAATAATATGTGTATTTAAAATTAGACGTTTTTATATTATATATATATATATATATATATATATATATATATTGTAAAAATGTTTCCAAGTTATTTTGAAATATTATTCATACAACTCATTTCATAGTGATATTAATAAATAAATAAATAAATAAAAATTCCAAATATACTTTAAAAGTTATTTTTTTATAGGATTAATTTCTTTTTAGTTGAACACACTAGAATATATATATATATATATATATATATATATATATACATTTATAAATTAATAGAAAAAATGATCTTTTTCTAATTGATAATAAATAGTGTTTAACTTGATATTTTTTGTATATTTGTAAATTATTTAATTATGTGTGTGTAACATATTATCTTCATATCATTTTTTTTAAATATATATTTTTCGTAAATTTAGGATAAAAAGGTCTAAAATGCTTCAACATTTACTATTATCAAGTTTGTATTTCACCTTCTCTTATATACTCATTCCAACAATTGTCTTAAAATGTTTCTATCAATTAAGATTGAAAAATCTTCATGAAAATAGAATAAAACAAGGTTGTTAGTGGTTTTAAATCTTCAAACACAATGAGTTACCTAAACTTGATTGATTTATGAACTAAAAGAAAATAATCCTCAGTTGATTCTGTATTCATAATATTATGATTTATAATTTACTTATTTTTAACAAAGAAAAGGTTATGGGCCACACATTTTTACCACCTTAGGTATTAACTAAATTATTTTTATTATTTCTATTAAGAACTATCATTTTATTAAGAATAAATATTTTAACTATGCAAAATCAAAGTCACAAAAGCCAATGGATAGTTTGCTATGCAATTTATTTTGAATGATTGCTAAAATTAAATTAAAACTCACAATTATAAAGGAAAAGATGTTGTAATATTTGGATATTCATGGGAATGACATATGACCTGCATTTTTTTTGGACAAAAACACACAATAATATTAAACATATTAAAGATATTATATTATATTATATTAAAGAATTAATTCTACAGGGAAAAAGGAGGGAGAAGGTGCATTTTAGAGCATGTATGAGAATAATGATATAGAAAGTATAGTAGTGTTTGTATACATATAAGAGGAGGATATTGATAAGAGATATAGTATGTGTTGATATTGGTAATAGGGGGTATTATAAAAGCAGGGTTCAAGCATATATGGAAAGAGAAGCACTACCACCATCAAGCAAGCAACCAAGAGGAGGAGGAGGAGGAGGAGAGAGGAACTGAGAGTTGCACTCACATGTATATCCACACACACACACAGTCACATACATGATAACCAGAGTGAGTGAGTGAGTGAGTGAGTAGTTTCCATTGAAGAAGATGGGACAGGGACTGGGACTGTTAGTTTAATTGTTTGTTTGTTCCTCTTTCTCCCCCACCCCTCTCTCTCTCTCTCTTAAGGATCATACATACATACATACATCTCACCCACTCACTCACTTACACCACCATCACCAATCAACACACTCACATGTCGTACAACAAAGCAATCCCCCCCTCCCCCTCTACAACTTTAAAGTGAAAATTGACCAAGGGTAGGGTATCAGAAGAGAGCCACCCAAATAGGAGAGAGAGAGAGTAATAATATCATGTGGAAGGTAAAAAGAAGGAGAAAGACAAAGGAAAGGGAAGGAAGGAAGGAAGGAAAGAAAGGAAAGGAAAGGAGGGAGGTAAAGAAGAAAGAGGAAGAGAAAGAAGAAGAAGCAGAAGAAGAGCGGGAATGCAGCGGGGTATCGTAAAATTAAAATAAAGACAACGACGAAAGCAATATTATGAGGATGATTACGACCCATCGGGAGATCGGCACCTCATCTTTCCTTCTGTTTCCATTCCTTTCCATTGAGGGGTAAGTCTCAATCCCGTCCCGTCCCCACCCCCCCCCCCCCGGGGTACTGATCTCTCGATGGGAAGAAAACATCCTCATAATATTGCTTTCGTCGTTGTCTTTATTTTAATTTTACGATACCCCGCTGCATTCCCGCTCTTCCTCTGCTTCTTCTTCTTTCTCATCCTCTTTCTTCTTTACCAC